AAAATGAACAAATCTGAGAGATGTCTACCTAAGCTACCTACATGTATAGTATCAAAGCAATCAATTTGAAAATACCGATATCACTTTTTACCAAAAAATGAAGAAAATTATTCATCAAAATTAGAGAATTAAAGATAACATCAGAAATGAACAAATACATCAAGTATAAAAGCAATAAGAATTGTAGTTTTCAAGTAGAAGTCACAAAAGTAACAAATTGACACGGACGACCATGGACAACCACTCATAGGATAAGCTTCACTTGACAAAGCCAACAGTGGAGCTAATAAAAAGACGGCATTGAAATTTAAATTATTTCACTGCGAGATCCCACATTATGTGTGAAATCGAATGCAAAAACAGGACAAACAAAGGTCATAGTAGTGTCAAAACATCACATGGGATTCACCAAATGCAGAAATATTTTTGGGGTATTTTCAATGCCATTTTTCATTTGCCAATTTTTATAAAGGAAGTAAGGAAAACCCAAAGCCATAATTCCCTTTGGAAAGATAGTTATTTGGGCAATGAACTACAATAAAAGAGAAATCCAAATTAAAAATCAAATCATTCAATTTTTGTGGCAGATGTTCGATCCTCATTTTGCGTGCAAGATCTCACAGTGAAACGAAAAATCACCTAATTGCACCATGTGGTTTTTGTGATATCTGCGAGGTAGAGGTCATCGACCTTAAAGTGGAACAGTTAGCGTGTAGTGTGTGTTGAAACAATAATTTTATGCATACCGAACAAGACGTATTGAAATGACTGAGGTGACCTTGAAGGGATTTCTAACTTAAGCTTTGAAAGTATTCAAGTGTACACACAATTTTTCAAATTTCAAAAAACTTTAATTCAAATGTACAAGCATCACCAAATTCAATAAAATTAAAAATAACACCCTGTCGCTCACCTGTTGCATCATAACTATCAGGTATGTTGAGACTCTCCTCATCTCCTAATATGGTCAAAAGCTCTGTTTCTAGGAGCCCACTAGCTGATGCTTCTAATAGACACAGCGTTGCTACCAGTAAATTGCCACCATTCTCATTTTCAAATCTGTTCAGAACTTGAGCAATAAGTCTACAAATTAAATAAAACAAGTCATTGAAAATGATACAGTCCCCGTTAAATTTTTGAAAGTTCTCTTTGTGCTTGTCATATTAAAGCAGGGGAGGGGTGTCGCGAGCGTGTCCTTGAAACTTGAGTTCCAAGTGGCGCATACAACAGATTGTTTATTTACATCAAAACACGTGTTCCGTGTAGTAGTAATATGGCCAAAAATAAAAATATTTGGCCATCTTTGATCTGATTATGAAACACACTGATATGTATGATGTATGTGCCAAATACGAATGAAAATGGTGCATAAATTGTGGAAATATAGTAGTAAGGCCAACAAGTCAGATGGCTGTCAATCAGCCATCCTTGACCAGATTTTGAAACAAATTGTCATGGACATGCATCCTAACATGTATAAAGTACATGTACATGCCAAATTTGAATGAAAACTGACAGAGCACTTCCAAGATACCGCATAAAAAAAACAAGATGCCTGCCAGTCGACCATCTTTGATCCAATTGCGCAAAAAAAATTGTCATGGACATGTAACCTAACATGTATAATCTATGTACCAAGTTTGAATGACAACTGACAAAGCATGTCCAAAATACAACATTTTCAAAAAACAAGATGGCTGCCAGTTGTCCATTTTGAATCGAATCGCTAAACCACTGCATGTGCATATGTCCCAGATAAAGTACTAGGCACATGCAAAGAATGAACGGAATCGGTCAAAGGGATTCTGAGATATGACTCCGGACGGACGCACAGACGCATGGACGCACGGACGGAGACCGAATTATAAAATATAGTAAACCTGAATTTGCGTATATTCCAGGAACAAAAACATGATGATTCACCATAATTCTACTTTGTTTTGAAGTAACGTGACTTTCAGTAATTCAGAACAGAAGTGAATCTTAGTGAATCTACATGAATTAGAACACTATTTGAAAATGCTAGCAGGCGAAATTAGAATACACAATCAAATTAATACTTTAATACTCTAATAATTCATCATGGGGCTACTATTAGATGATTTGAATTTTCTTGTATTTGGAGGCGAAATGGAGGTGTCACCAGGATTCTGCCTTCTTTTCAATTAATTTATCCCACAGTAAATCAGAACTGAAGCAAATCTTTGTGAATCTACACACATTGAAACATTCTTCCAAAGTGATAGCAAGACAATTTAAATACACAATCAAATGTCAAACTAAGATCAACAATCATACATGCTAACAAAATAACATTGAAATTTTAATTTAATAGCATATTTCATGTATCAGTACCAAAACTCCAAATTCACTAATTGTTGGATTGCTCACCCACTAGCAGGGATTGTAGGCTGGGTTAAGACTTTAACATTTTCACCACCAGTTCCTTCTTTTCATCACTAATTCACAAAATAGTCGTGCTCATAGTCCACATTTTACTTCAGAAGACTGAGACAAAAATAACCAAATATTTTAAGTAAAAACTGAAAATTGACTCCAATTTTGTCTGTTGACTCCAAAATTATGTTTTATTTTTAAAAATATTGAAGAATATAAGAAACAAAGTGCAGAATAATTTGGGTGAGACAGTACTAATAATTTTGTAAAGTTCTTACTCTAATAATCCATCTGCTAGTTCATTTATTTTCGTGCTGACTGTTTCGTATTCTCCATGCACTCGCAATTCTTCACATGCTATGGACAACCACAAAGGATTCTGGGATGATTCTTTTGCCATTAATAAACTGCATTTGTTCTTTGTCTAATCTCTTGTGAGATCGATCCAGTATCTCAGTAACTATTTCCTAAAAAAACAGCAAAATACAAACTTATGAAACAATGAGAACGATTATGGAAACAAGTCTCATTTCCATGACAATAGTTATTTCGATGCAAAAGCCTCAACACAATTTTTTTTTATAAATCTACCACTGGTACACGTTTCAAGAGACATTTCATAGTGTCAACATGCTGTCATGGTAACTAAACTTCATTTTTAATCCAACTACATGTATAATTAATATCCAGTATAAGAACCCTGAAACTACATGGCAACGTGAAAAAGTTAAAATGTCAAGCTCAGAAAGTCATTTCAACCATGTAATGATAATACCGTACCAGGTAAGAGCCCATGCCCGGGCAAACGCCCACCCCCCACTTTTGACACAATAAAGAAGGTCATATCCGGGCACACACCCAGGGGGTCTTTTTCTACACAAAAAATAACAAAAACTATTTTCTATTCGTTGACTGTGGCTGTATTAACAGTTGACGTTCTTGTAGTCTGTCATGATGCTTATAAAAATTCTCTAAAATATAATTGTTAATTGCGTAAAACAAGGGGTGAACGCGATATTTCACTTTCTGCCTTCAGGGCAGAATCATTACAGTCAGCAAGTCTATAAAAATATATATTAGAGCAGAAACGGTAGTTCTCTTTTTGAAATATGTCCCTAAAAAGGGCCAGTTGTTTGGTTTGTGCTTCCTTAGAAACGATTCAAGAAAATCGTATAAGGAGAGCCACGAAGCAAGTACCACACTCGGTCGGCCGTAGCGTCATCAACAATTAAACCAATGTTGCAATATTGTAGCAGCCCATGGCTTTTACCCGGATAAATACGGTATAAATTAAATTCTGGCAATTAATCACTGATTTGTGAAATTTACGCAAAATCTGATGATTTCTGATTCTTTTAATTATGTGTAACTAGTAGCTTCGGGGTAAGTGGGTTTCGTATTGGGTGGGTCTCGCGGGGAGTATGGCTTTGTCGCAGTACCTGGTATTTTCATCGTTGTTGAGAAAGTTTTATGTTTCTTTAACAACTTGCACTATCCTGGGAATACCATACTTATTAATTTGCCCTTATGATTTGTGCAGTTGCTCTGACAGAAGTTCCAAAATAAGACCCATGCTTACATTACATTATCATTATGATCTTATTGGTGTTGCAAAGGATAGTTGAATATTGTTTATTAAAATTAATAATCCCCATAACCGTTTTCCAATATAGATAAATTATAGTACGTAACAAATATACAACTCAGTCTCAACAATGAAATAAAGAAATGTTTATATTTACATTATTATATAAAATATTCCGTCAGTAACACTTCTCACTTCTCTATTTGTTTATAATTTTATAAATTGGCTTGGCAATTCCCACCCCAGATTTAATGTGTACAAAGTTTAATAAATAAAATTAAAGATACACTAACAAAAATGAAATATTAATTATTTTATTATATAACCTGCACAAAAGCAATCAATAATTTTCCTTGCTAGAATGATGTGTACCTCATATGGGAATCCTGATAAAGTTCACAGCTGGCGATTTAGCAATACGCATATCAGGGATAGTCCATTTTTTGTGAATTTGATTACCTAACGTTTTTAGGTTCATATGCTGCAAGTTACAGAGCATGTACCTAAGCGGCCGCCCCTCAGCAAATAATAAAGCAAAGGCATTTTCGATGTCGAAATCGTGAAACTCACCCTTTTTGTGCAAACTGGGAAGTTCGAATTACTAAACGAAGTACAGGACGACGAAGATGAAATATCTCAAAAGTGAATATTTGTGGTGTATTTTAAGTCTAACCGGACCAGGAGGGTCAATTTCTTAGTACTCTAAATATCCAAACATATTTTAGTATAAGGTAGTAATCATGATGCATTCTAAACCTATTTTCACAACCCTCCCACAATGCAACATTCAATATGGCCACTATACTTTTCTCACCTTTCTGGAATTGATGTCCAGGGGAGTGACTTCTATTTCTATCGGCAGTTTAGGTCTTTCTTTCAATATATTGTGAGGGGCAGTCTCATTAATCATAGACAAAATCACCCTGACTTGTGGAGCCAATTTTCGTGGAAGCCAGCTTAAAATATTTGACTGTTTTTCTTCATCAAACTGAAAATAAAATAAAAAAAACATAACATTGTTAATGTGTACATTGTTGTGTTCTAAGGTATGCAGTGGTTTTCATACCGTACTAAGCGATTTTTAAAAAATGGTATGGTTGAATCCGTTCAAAATGCCAATTGTTTTAACATTTTACCAAAAAACTATTGATTATTGTTACATAGACACAGGAAACACTCATCCCGATTTGCCGTATGACTGTACCTGATTCACCGCATCTATAATTATAATGACAGGTCTGGTATTAGGATTAGATAATACACTACTAGTTAGCTGTGATGCTGTCTCATAGTCTTTAGGCATATTGGCATCCTGAAATATAGGGGTAAGATAATAATTGAATGGAAAGAGTGATGTTATATATGATTGGATTGAATATTTGTGGCTTTAATAATTGGCATGTATGTAGCATAACAAAGTATAAGCATAGCATAACATATTTGTAATGTAGCATAGCATACAAAAGTGTAGAATATAGTATATCAACTGTAGCATAGAATATATGTAGTATACTGTAAAATACTATTTTCGCTTGGAATTTATTTTCGCTGAAGGGATGTTTCCGTGAAAATAAAATCCAGCGAATATACCTTGTTTCCTATATAAACTCATCAAAAGTCAGTGAAAATAAATTCCATACAAATCATCCAAAAAGTCTTTTCACGAAATTAATTCCAACTAAAATAAAGTATTTTACAGTAGCATATAAAAGTGTAGAATATCAACTGTAGCATAGCATAGCATAGCATAGCATAGCATAGCATAGCATATATGTAGCATAGCATAGCATAGCAAATATGTAGCATAGCATAGCATAGCATATATGTGGCATAGCATAGCATATATGTAGCATAGCATAGCATATATGTCGCATAGCATAGCATAGCATATATGTAGCTTAGCATAGCATATATGTAGCATAGCATAGCATAGCATAGCATATATGTAGCATAGCATAGCATATATGTAGCTTAGCATAGCATATATGTAGCATAGCATAGCAGATATGTAGCATAGAATAGCAGATATGTAGCATAGCATAGCTTAGCATATATGTAGCATAGCATAGCATATATGTAGCATAGCATAGCATACATGTAGCATAGCATAGCATATATGTAGCATAGCATAGCATAGCATAGCAAATATGTAACATAGCAAGTATAGCAGATTTGTACATAGCATAGAATATTTGTAGCGTACCATATATATGGCATAGCACAGTATAGAATATAGTACAGCAAAGTGTAGCATTATATAGCAATTCTGTAACACATTGCAAAGTATAACCAAGCATAGAAGACTTGTACATACATGTAGGTGAGCTTATATGCAACATAGCAAAAAGTAGCATCGCATAGTGTAAAATAGAGTTTAGCAAAACTTGGCATAGCATACAGTATATGTAGCAGAGCAAAGTATAGAAAATATGTAGTAAAATAACCCATATCATAACCTCAATAAAAGTACAAATCCAAGACTGTCTCTCTTTTTAGTATTTTTCTAGAAATACAATTTGATGTCATTGACTCATTAACTACAGAATAATATAGATAGATAGCATAGCAGAGCCCAATAGAAAAGAGTGATAATACTTACAGTGCAAATTTTCATCTCTCTCAGAAATCTTTTTAACGTCTTTTCCAAGTCTGTGGAGCCGGGGATTGCACCAACAAAATGAAAGAATACATACCAACCATTCTCACCACCTCTGTAAACAATTGGGAGAATAAAAGAAATCTCAAACACATCAAACTCAAAAAACACTAACGGTGAAATATACTGTCTGAAAACACTGCCTTCAATCCTTTAAAAATCAAAGAAAACTTTTGTCAATTTTTATTTTTATTTTATTTTTATATTTTATTTTTTTGTATTCAACTGTCCACCAGGACCCATAGCCAATGATAAATTATATTTTTAGCAGTAATCCCACCTTTTGTCAAGGTATGGTCACATGTAATCTGAAGTTCACACATGATATAAAATTTATTTATTCACTGATACTATCTGATAATAGCAATCAACCACTAGTACAGTGACCCCTCGCTAAGTCGTGGGCGTCAGGATCCAAGCAAAAACTGTGACTTATCGATGATCGTGACTACTGCGTGGCCTCCTGAAAGGGCGGGTTCATGCATTGAAAATGGATAAAAAACACATATATATGCACATGTGTTTATTTAAAGTAAGTTTTATTTATTGAAAAACATCACAGCGTCACAGCTTTAGTGATGTCATCATTGTTTAGTCTGCCTCTTGGTAAACTTACAGAGTTATATTAAAAGAGACTGACCGAGAAGTATGTGAAGTTGCAATTTGACACTCCCGTCGACACCTTGAGTCAGGCTGATGTCACCTTTTGCATCTCAGTAATTGATGGACAGTAGGTGTTAATTTGTCTTCTCTAGCCTTTTAACGACCAATTAAATACATGATGCAATGAAATATTAGTTCTATCAAAACAAAATAGAATTTTTGGGAGCCATCAAACTAACTGCGACTTAGTCGAAACCACAAATTACTGGCGCGCAGCTTAGTGAGAGTCACTGTATGCCCAATTAGACGTGCATCTCCAATAGAAGCGCATGTAAACAAGTCATTGAAAATGACATGATAGTCCCCATTAAATTTGTGAAAGTTCTCTCTGGAGGGGTTGTCACGAGCGTGTCCTTGAAACTTGAGTCCAAAGTGGCGTATACAAGAGATTGTTTATTTACATCAAATTCGAGCACATGTTGCGTGACGACCCCTTTTAAGACATAGCAAAAGAAAACATGGATCACAAATGAAAGCATGTTCAAGTTATCACATTTTAAACAAACAAGATGGCCACCAGTCTGCCATATTTGATCAAATTGCAAACATGTACATGTACATGTATCCATTTATGACATGCTAAATATCAATAAAAATGATACATGGGTGACAGATATAGTAATATGGCCAAAAATAAAAACAGTTGTTATTCGGCCATCTTTGAACTGATTATGAAACAAAATTGTATGTATGGTGTATGTGCCAAATACAAATGAAAATGGTACATAAATCTTGGAATATAGTAGTAATGCCAAAAATCCAGATGGCTGTCAATTGGCAATCCTTGATACGATTTTGAAACAAATTGTCATGGATATGTATCCTAACATGTATAAGTATATGTGCCAAATTTGAATGAAAACTGACAAAGCATGTCCAAAATACAACATTTTCAAAAAACAAGATGGCTGCCAGTCAGTCATTTTGAGTCGAATTGCTAAACCACTGCATGTGCATATGTCCCACATAAATTTCTAGGCACATGCAAAGAATGAACAGAATTGGTCCTAAGGATTCTGAAATATGACTCCGGACGGACAGACGCACGGACGGACAAACATACAGACGGACAGATGCATAGACGGTTGGAGGACATGTATCCTAACATGTATAATCTATGTACCAAATTTGAATGAAAACTGACAAAGCACGTCCAAAATAGGACATTTTCAAAAAACAAGATGGCTGCCAGTCGGCCATTTTGAATCGAATCGCTAAACCACTGCATGTGCATATGTCCCACATAAAGTACTAGGCACATGGAAAGAATGAACGGAATCAGTTTGACGGATTCTGAAATATGACTCTGGACGGACGCACGAATGTACGCACGGACGGATGGGCGGATGGACGCACGTAGGAATGCATGGACGAACGCATGGACGGACGGACGGACGGAGACCGAATTATATGTCACCGTAATTGAACAAACATTTTCCAGATAACTTTGTTTTAAATTACTGTACCCTGGAATTTTGTTGTTTTCTGATTCGTTAACAGCAGTCTCTGCAGCTTTCGCAATGATAGAAGACTTTCCCATACCAGGCCCACCGAGCAGAATCAGAGGCACATCTATGGCTATACCAACTACATAGTCTGCAAGCTAAATAACAGAACAGACAAGTATACTTTTAGAATAGTTTATGTACTATTATGTAAATTTCTGTGAGGAACACTGAGAAAAAACATTAATGATCAGTTCAAGTTTCTGAAGTAAGAGATTAATTAATTTTTATCTTTATATCAGAATAATAACAATTATTATATATCTGTCACTGTAAAGCCATAAGTTACAGTGTGCCGTAATTTTGTGGTATTGCACTGGGTATTTTTATCCTACCATATATGGAAATGTGTATTCCAAATATGAAATGATTATGTGTGTAAACATCCTCGAATAGTAAAAACAGACATGGCTGCTCCCAGGGTTTGAACAGACCCCACACAAAGAAGTTTGCTAAATCTGTTTTAAAAGTTTTGGATTTCGGCATTTCCATGATGTATTCCTGGGAAAAAAACATGTATAATAATAAGGTTATTATGAGGATACTGCAAAGTATGCACTCAGACAGTAATGCGGTCGCATCGACCTCTGCTGTGTGCCGGCAGATACTCCTGCTTTACTGTCTTTG